AAATAATTTTTGATTAATATTTAATAAAAAAATATTCTGCTTCTCATTATGTAAAAAAATTAATTTTTTAAACAATTTCTATTGTAAAATGGACATACGGGTTTCTAGTAGTGATAAATACAGACGAATAAAAGCACAAAGTCGCTTATGTCTTATTTCTCGGTAAACCTACTCGAGCTGAGCGGTGCCGTCTAGAGAAAAAAGATACATAAGCGACTTTGTGTATCATTTTGTCCTGTAAGTTGGTGACGCATGCAGCGTCGTTTACCGAAATATGATCCCACAAAGTGCTGTATGTATCTTTTAACTCTGTATTTCGTCACTTGTTCTATTTTTGTCATTTTTAAACAATCTTTTTTTGCAATAAATAATTAAATTTTTTAATTCTTTTTTACACAGTTAAATGCAGCTTTTTTTAAGAATCCAATGATACCAAAAACTCAATTTTTTCAAAAATGTCGCTTATGTATTTTTTTCCTCTGGACGGCAGTGTTGATTTCGAAATTTTATAAGTGTAATTTTTCATTTAATTTGCTCTTAAATTTACGAAAAAAAATTGAATTAATAATTATAAATCCCGAATTCAATTTATCTATCTGTCGAAACAACAAAAAGAATTTTATTCCTATTACCAATTTCTTAGAAGAAATAAAAAAAATGTTAATTCAATCTCCTTTGGTACACACGGCCCTGGGTAACTTTGATTGTATAGGGAAGTATGAACTTTTTCGGGTGCCCCGTTTTTATCATGAATTTTTCTGGCTGACTAATGACTCATGTTCTTTTTCTCTTCTCTTTCGCCGTTCTCTCTTCTCTCTCTTTACGGCCGCTATTACTACTACTGAATCACTGGTCTGTCACGTGCAGCCTTTCTCTTAAAGGTACTGCCACAACTCGCTGCTGCCTGCGCAGGCAGCAGAAAGCTGTGGCAGTGCCTTTACTGCTAAAATTTCGAATTTCCCGGCGCGTCGGGTCTTATGTCGTCCTGCGCACTAATTTTAATCACGTGATACTTGCGAATTCTCTTTCCGGTCTAACATGTGCTTGACTCAAATTAAATTTTTAGTTCAACTTTTCACTTATTACAGACACTAATTCAATTTAAAAAAATGTATTACAACATTATTGTCTGGCAATATTTAGAAATTTTAACAAAAAAAATTTTAAGCATGAATACAACCGAAAGTTTATATTTTTCGCAACGGGAAAATTTATTTTCAGGTGACAAAATTACTACACACTCTCTATTTCAACTTTACTGAAAAATTTGGGCATAAATTTATTTATCGGGCACATAAATAAATTTTTCTGGCATAAACAATGACAAATAAAATAATTTTTACATATGAAATTTCAACTCAAATGGCAAAATTTTATTAGTTTCAGACGTGTCTCGGTTCTGGCCTGGCCCCACGTTGGGCGCCAAATGTGACGTATAAATTTAAATGAATAATAATCTAAATTTTCTGCAAACGTTAACAAAATCTGACGCGATCAACAATTTACTTTAAAGAAATTTACTGAAGTAAATCTCGCCGTCAGGCGCCAATTAATTTTCAAGCTGAATTAATAAACTACACTACCGTCGGGAATTATCGGTACGGCTGCACGCGCACGGTTCAAAAACATACCAATCTTTAAATCACGATTTTTTTGTAAATACAAATGTCAGAAAATTAACAAATAGGGGAAAGTCTCTAGTTGTGAGACGGGTTTTATTTTTGACCCGTAAATTGTAAACGGGTAAACGAAATTGTAAATAAAATACACCGTTCGGAAGGTAACAGAAATACGCAACTTTTATTAAAAGAAAGTGTAGTGTTTCGATGAACTCAAAAAATTTTACGATACATTTTCCGAGCACATCGCTTTTGTCAAAAAAAAATGTCTCCAGTTGTGAAACACTCATTAAAAATTGCTAAAATTTAATAAGTTTGACATAAAACGTTATGTTTAGTAGAAATAATGAAATATATTAATAATATATATTATTACATACTAAATAATAATATTTATTCGCCAAAATATGACTATCAAATAAACACAATTTAACAGCTTCAACAAGAGCATTAAAATTGATTTCTTCTGAATCAATTGACTTTTTTCCACTTGAAATGCCCAAAAATACTAGAAAAAAAATCAAAACAACATTTAAATAGTATGCCTGCAAAGTCGTATTTTTTATGCTGCCCAGATGGGTGTTGACACCGTTTCACAACTGGTGATATGCTGTGTCTCACACCCAGAAATTGGCGCTATTTTGAAAAAGGAAAATTAAATTATTTTTAACCGTAGATTGGAACAATGCAATATTGCATCACAAAATATAAGGAAAACACTAAAAGAAAATGCATTACATTTACCTTTTCCAATTAATTAACTTGGAAAAAAGGTACTTTGCATTTATTGAAAAAACGCTTTTTAGTCGATTATCACACACAGTGTTGGTATTTAACAAAAACAGTTTATATATCCACTTCGGCGTACACAAAAAAGTTGGCTCATATAAAAAGAAATGTTTTTATATAAACCAATCGGCTTTTTAATATTGCATGTTAAAAAAAATTGACTGTCTCACAACTGGAGGTGTCTCACAACTGGAGACTCTCCCCTATACCATTCGAAAGATAATTAAATTCTACGATTAATGGTACATAAATGAATAATAATTTATACAAAGATTGCAGCAAATGACAAATTTGACAAAAAAATTTTAAAAATACAATTTTTTTGGAAATTTTTTCAACCCCTGCACATTTTTTAAAAATTGCAGAAAAAATTTAATACTTATATAAGTGTGATAATTCAAGTCTTATCTTTAATTTAAGACCAAAAGAGTTCAAAAATCTTAATCGGTTAGCGAGATATCATTATAAACGGCAGAGCATTTTCAGCCAAAGACCGTTCAAAATCGACTAATTCAATGCATTTGTCAAAAAACATGCTCGGACGTTTATAATGATATCTTACGAACCGAATAAGATTTTTAAACTCTTTTGGTCTTAAATTAAAGATGAGACTTGAATGATCACACTTATGTAAGTTTCAAATTTTTTCTGCAATTTTTAAAAAATGTGCAGAGGTTGAAAAAATTTCCAAAATAATTTTATTTTTAAATTTTTTTGTCAAATTTGTCGATTGCTGCAATCTTTGTATAAATTATTAAAATTTTCAGTTATGTACCATTAATCGTAGAATTTAATAATCTTTCGAATGGTATATTTGTTAATTTTCTGACATTTGTATTTACAAAAAAATCGTGATTTAAAGATTGGTATGTTTTTGGGCCGTGCGTGTGCATCCGTACCGATAATTCCCGACGGTAGTGTAAATTTAATTCAAAATATTACCACAAATTATCTACAACAATACCTCCGAGTTTCTCTCTCACTCAGAGGGAATTCTGCTTGAACGATTGGCAAGCAGAAATTGCCAACGGCGAGACACGACTGGCACGGTACTGAAAGTTGGACTTACCCACGATGCTTCTCGCCACAAGGACTAATTTTCCTCCTCTTGCTGCCTCGGTCTCTTAACCTGGATTTAATCCGTTTGGGAACTCTTAAGAAAAACAACATTTCACTGGAAATCAACTATTTATTTTTAAACAAATTAAATCTTTACAACAAAAATTGAAATTCAAGTCACTCGATATCGCGTTGCGAACGGGTCTTATTTCAATATGGACGATAATTTATATTACACCTGTAGCGTCGTTGACTCCTTATTCAATTTTCTCCTTTCCTCTAAAGTTCTTTTCCACCTTTTTCTCTCTAACTCTCCGCGGGCCCTTACCTCTACCACTTTCTCTTCTATTAACTAGCCGCTGACACACTTTCTCGATTACTAGTGGGTCATCCGGCTCATTAATTTTCTACGTTATCAAGTACCGGTCATGTTTAGGGGATTTCGTCGACAGGTGTCGTAACGATTCGCATCGTTACAATATATGTCGTGGCCACTTAGACGAATCCGACATTAAGCTAAGTGTGCAGACAGTTAGCTAACTGCTGACAGACGAATACACGTCGATATCGTCTATTTGTCTAAGCAGTAAGCTAAATGTCCGACACTTAGCTTACTGTCCACTGCCATTTGGACATTTAGAGTAAAATAGCTAAATGAATAAATTCATTTCATCTATACCAAAATAATTTATTTAATGCGGCCAATAAAACAAATTAATTTACATTAAATATAATAATTATAAAATAATTATTTCGATGCCACCATGCCAATCCGTGCAAAAATAAATAATTTGTTATATTTTGTTATTTATTAATTTTTTTTGTTATCACAATAATTAATTTTTTTTTCATTGAGAAATATTTGACTTTAAATGACGAAATGGCGGTGGATATTAAGCTGACTAATAATAAATGTAAAATTTGTTATTTTATTGGCCGCATTAAATAAATTATTTTGGTATAAATGAAATGAATTTATTTATTTAGCTATTTTACTCTAAATGTCCAAATGGCGGTGGACAGTAAGCTAAGTGTCGAAAATTTAGCTTACTGCTTAGACAAATAGACGATATCAACGCCACGACATATATATATATATTTAATTGAAAAATTTACGAATAATTGAAATTTTGTAAAATTGAATTGTAAACAAATGAATTTGAAAATTCTTAAAAAACTTTTTCAAAAATTATTAAAAATAATAGATTTTATTAATAAGGATTTTTAAAAATATAAAGGGTTATTTTTTATTACTGAAAAACAACTTTTTTCTCTTTATAATGAGTGACACAAAGCAAAATTTCGATTTTTCAGAGTGTTTGTTTATAAATTTCAGTTTTTGGAAATTTTAAAATCGTAAAAACGTATTATTTTATATTCTAAAAAAACTATTCGTTTTGCTATAATGAAAATATTTAACCAAAGAGGAAAAATTATCAATTTTACATATTCTTTTCACTTTATATCTTTATTTCGTGACTACATCTGTAATACAAAACGATATGCGTCGCATATAAAATCAGTTTCGCTTTTAAGAAAATTTTCACTTATTACTGTTCTTTAATTGTTTTCTATTATTTTGTGCAACAAATATTATATTTAAAACTTACTTATATTTGTAAATATATAAGATTTATACGAAAATGGGTTGTGGCAAGCTTTGTTTCTTGCTACAAATTATGTTGTAAGTAACATACTATATATTTTTAATAAATTTACTTATTGGTTCTAATTGTTTTAATTTGATACGTTTTATTTTCTTATTAGTGTTATTACCTTAATATTTAAAGTAAAAAAATTTAATGTTTGATAAAATGAATATATTTTTTAAAACCTTTTAAAACTTAAATTTTACACTTTTTTTGGTTTGTGATCTTAAAAACGCGTTACATCAAACGGTAACGCATATGTTTATCGCGGAACTTAATTTCTTACGGCACTATTTATTTCACGTTTCCGCTGTCAGATAACTTAAAAGCTCAGGCAGTCGACTCAAGGTGATATTACCCTATAGTATATATAATAATAGTATATATAATAATATAATATACCGTCAACTGGGGCTATTTTGTGCATCCGGGGGCTATTTTGTGCACGTGAGTTTTTTAATAAAAAAAATTATTAAAATGAATTATTTTAATCAGTAGTATAGCTATAGGGGTACTGGTCCAGATTCTGATTTCGGCTAAGTACCCTCGGTCGATAATGCAGATTCCTACATTATCAGCGGCTGGTAGGGTGTGCTCTACCTTACCGACCGAGTTAGTTCTGGCTGTCACTGCTAGATGGCGCCACTTGCGAATTTCAAACCCCTTTGACGGGAAATTTAAAAATTTATTTTCAAACTTTCAAATGGCTTAGAAAGGGTTCTCTGTTTTACCGACCGATTTTTTTAGTTCCGGCTGCCGCCGATAGATGGAGCCACTAAATTTTAATTAATGATTAATACATTTCTGTTTGTTTAAAAAATTTCAATTGTAAATATTTGTTTATTATATTTAAAAAATATTAAAAAATATTAATTTTAAATGTTTGTTTATTATATAAAAAATTATTACTTAAAAATATTAATTGTAAATATTTGTTTATTATTAATATTTATTTAAAAACTATTTATTTAATTAAGGTAAGTGTAGTTAATTTTTTTGTTTTTTAATTATTACTATTATAATTATTTTATTAATTATAAACAATTTACAATTAAGGTAAGTGAAATTATTACTTAAAACTACAATAAGCGTTTTGAATTCAAATTGAATTTCGCGCGTTACCGGCGGTGAGCTCGTTGCCGGCGGTGAGCTCACAGTAGTTCAAGTCAACCGCCACACGCAGCAGAGTGGTGAGCGCGCGTAGTGGGGAACCGCTTGGTGGGGAGAGAGACCTACGAGGGTGACTAGCACACAGTAGAGAGCTCATTCCAGATCGCGGAGAGGAATAGTGCGGTCCACGATGGAGAGCTGCCGGTGCTACCACTGCCTCGTGAGGATGGTGTCCGAGTACAATGTGAGTATACTATAATACAATATAATATAATATAATATAATATAAATTCACTAGTTACAGAATGAAGGGAATGAGGTGCCATTCCCGACAACACTACCAGGATCTCCACCAGGATCGCCAACGCAGTCACCTCTGCATCAGATGGCACTCCAGTGGCGTCTATTTTCACCGCCGTGGATGCTGGTGGAGAGGCCGCCGACACCACTGCCCAGGTCACCGACACCTCAACCCAAGATGGAACCGGAGTCTCCCCCACCCTTCATTCAGTTGGGGACTCCATCCAGGTCGCCTACACCGGTGGAATGGCTGCCTACAACCCCGCCCGGAAGTCCACCACGGTGTAGGTCACCGATACCCAGGGCGCAGTCTCCCGAGCCCAGGGTAGAGGAAAGGGAGCCGGCGGGACCTTCACCAGAGGCGCAGCCGCCGCTTGCTCACGGTCGGCGTCGCTGCCATCGACGGCGGCGCGTATTTTTTAATTTTAAATTTAAATTTTATTTTTAAAAATCAATAAATTTTTATTTTTTTTTAAATTAGTATATTTATTTTGCGGATCCTGTATAGAAATTTTTACGACTGCGTTAGAGTAAGAGTATTGCGCATGCGTGAATAGGTGGGGAAAAATTTAAGAGTGGGGATGCGTTATAGGTTGGAGTGAGGGTAAATGGTCTAGTGCGCATGCGTGAAAGGTAGGAGTGGGGATTTCGGGGTATATATTCAGGGATTTTGTCGAGTTTAATCAGTAGCTGTTCTGTTTACAGATTCAGCGGTTCCAACAGCAGCAGCAGATTCCCATTACTAACTGTCTTTTTTGTTACATTTATTGTTATATTTACTGTGTTTATTGTTATATTTACTGTGTTTATTGCATTTACTTTGTATTGATTTTTAGGTTAAGTTCTTTAGTTTGTAAGTTCGTTCTTTTGTTCTTTTGTTAGCTTGTAAGTGTGTTCTGTTTAGTTTTAAGTGTGTTAGCTTGTAAGTGTGTTTCTTTTGATTTCAGGTGCAGAGATGAAGCGGAAGGTGACGACCACCGATGGACCACCACGTAAGTATCCGAATTACGGTACTATTCTCGACGAGAGTGACATCACTGTTACTCTCATTAAAGAAGCCCTTGAGTTGATACCTTATTTGAGTAACGTAAATGTAATTAGGTTTAATTTTAATTTAAGGTTTTTAGGTTTAATTAATTGTGTAATTAGGTTTAATTTTATGTATATAGTTCCTTGGTGGGCTAACAGCCCTAGGAGCTTGATTTCTTTAAATAAATAAATAAATGAGAGACGCTCTTTCATTGAACGATGGGTTGTAGAATGCTCACAACATGAAAACTTGTTATCGAGCATTCTCAAGTCGATGTACTTTACACATCAAAAGAAAAGATGTGTGAGCATTCTACAATCCATCATTAGACTTCGCGCATTATTTGAGTCCCATATTGTAGATGGCGCTGGAATCGGTGACCCAGATATCAATAAACGTGTGCGCTGGGAAGAATGTGAGAGTGCGTTTGCGTGTAGACTGTACACTAATGTGATTGTAAATCTTGAACACATTGATATAAGCGCGTTTTTAGACGATGGGTCCACACTGTTTCAAGACCATATTAGAGGTGCTTTAAATAAGAATGGACCCATCGTCGTGTACGGCGTACTCATCGCAAACTTCAAGAGGGTGGAGAATGACGAAGAAGTTGTAAAGCCGATTCCTTTTGGAACCAAGGCCAACAACATCTTCCCTACAACCCTTTTAGATGATTGGTTCGAGCAGTACATTAAGCAGCCGATTCTACATAGTGTTGAAGAGTTTTACGCCAAAGGTTCAAATTGGAACCTACAGTCAATTATAAAGCTTGAAATCAATGTAAATAAGTATAATCCGATGCGTGCGAGCTCTTACATTAGTTTACCTCCACAAATTAAAAACAAGCATGCATGTATTAATGTTGAAAATGCAGATAAAGAGTGCTTTAAATGGGCCATACTTTCTGCTTTACATTCAAATGTATCACATCCTGAGCGCGTTACCAGTTATAAAGAATTTAAAGATGAATTGAACTTTGACGGAATTGAATTTCCAGTGACGCTTAAAAATATCCTGAAATTTGAAAAATTAAATGATATTTCAATTAATGTCTATGGTTTATTAAAATACTATGGGGACTTCTCAACACATTCTCTCCATCTCACTGCGGAAAAAAGAGATAAGCATGTAAATCTCTTGTATGTTGCTGACATGTATGCGGATGAAAGTGTTGACAATAATGTATTGCATGACGATGATGGTTTTATGAACTTCCATTATGTATGGATAAAAAGTTTATCTGCGCTTCTGTATAAACAATTGTCAAATTATAAAGGTAAAAAACATATTTGCGACCGTTGCCTACACTATTTCAATTCGTTAGAAAAACTGAATGTACACATTGAGAATTGTAAAAAAGTGAATGAGTGTAAAATTAAATTACTGAAGCCGAAAGATAGTATTATCATATTTAAAAATTATAAGAATAAAGAGAAAGTACCGTATGTAATATACGCCGACTGTGAAAGTCTACTTCTTCCCGCCGATGAAGATGTAGACAATTTAAGTAAGACTGAAGTTTTCCAGCGTCACAAATTGTTAAGCATCGGATATTATATAAAATGTAGCTACGACGAATCATTATGTAAATATGTACCATGCCCGAAAAATGAATCTGACCCTGCTAAATGGTTTACTGAGGAATTAAGGCAATTATCTGAAAAAATTGATAATGTATTTAAAAATCCGATACCAATGAATGCCTTAACTCCTCCAGAAATCAATGACTTCAAGCGAGCGACAATATGTCACATTTGTAATGAGAAAATACCGGCAAGCGAAAAGAAAGTCCGCAATCACTGTCACCTTACTGGCAAATATAGGGGTGCTGCCCATGAATCATGCAATTTAAACTACCAAGATTGTCAGACAATTCCCGTGGTGTTCCACAATTTAAGTGGCTATGACGCCCATTTTATAATTCACGCGATCTCGACGAGCTTTGAAGGGAATATTGACTTCCTCCCCATTAACAAAGAGAAATATATCTTTTTTACTAAACACGTCAAGGGGAGTGAGGTCAAATTTCGATTCATTGACTCATTGCGATTCATGGCAGCATCCCTAGAAAAACTCGCATCGTACTTAGACGAGTATAAAATTGTAGGGTGTTTTCCCCTATGAGTACTTTGACTCAAAAAGTAAGCTCGATGAAACTGAATTACCCCCGATAGAGAAATTTTATAGTACTCTGTATGACGCTGGTATTTCTGATGATGAGTATGCGCATGCGCTAAATGTATGGACCGAGTTTGACTGTAAAAATCTCTACGACTATGTACATTTATACATGAAAACAGATGTATTGTTACTTGCGAATGTCTTTGAAAATTTTCGAAAAGAATGTGTTAAAGCGTACGGGTTAGATCCTGCTCACTATTATACGACCCCCGGTATAGCTTGGGATGCTATGCTCAAGTACACGAGCATAGGATTGCAACTAATAACCGATGTTAATATGATTATGTTTGTTGAGTCTGGTATTAGAGGTGGCATAAGTCAATGCTGCAACCGATATACTATAGCGAATAATCCATATATGGAAAATTTCGATGATAGCAAAGATACTAGCTACATCATGTACTTTGACGCTAACAATTTATATGGCTGGGCAATGGCTCAAGCGCTCCCTTATGGCGGCTTCAAATGGGTTGAAAATGTCGACAACTCTTTCAATTTTAATGTATCCGACGATTCACCTGTTGGATACATACTCGAAGTTGACTTGGAGTATCCTGAAAGTATTCACGATACCCACAAAGACATGCCATTTTGCGCAGAAAATGCGAAACTCCCCCTCTCGAAACAGGAGAAATTATTAACAACTCTCCTACCCAAATAAAAATATGTGATCAACTATCGAACTCTCAAACAAGTTGTTGCTAATGGCATTAAACTTGTTAAAATCCACCGAGTCTTACTGTTTAAGCAATCAACATGGCTTAAACCATACATAGACTATAATACAATGATGCGAACCAATGCCAAAAATGAGTTCGAGAAAAATTTGTTCAAGCTCATGAACAACGCTGTGTACGGCAAAACAATGGAAAATGTCCGTAAACATGTCGACATTAAGCTTGTCACCCAATGGTTTGGCCGCTATGGAGCTGAAGCCCTAATCTCTCGCCCGAATTTCCATAGTCGAGCGATATTCGACGAAAATCTGGTTACCATTGAACTGCGTAAAACCGAGGTACTACTCAACAAACCAATCTATGTGTGGTTAAGTGTGCTCGATGTTTCCAAAACGCTAATCTACGATTTTCACTACGGGTATATGTTAAAAAAATACGGCGACAATTGTAAACTGATGTATACCGATACAGACAGTCTAATTTATGAAATTAAATGTAAAGATGTCTACAATGACATGAAAAATGACATTCAAAAGTTCGATACGTCAGACTATCCCGCCAACAACGTGTACGGCATTCCGCAAGCCAACAAAAAGATTCTTGGTCTAATGAAAGACGAATGTAACGGCAAGATCGTTACCGAATTTGTTGGCTTGCGGAGTAAGATGTACAGCGTACGGGTTGAAGGTGAAGACATTATTAAAGAAGCCAAAGGCATTAAATCCGGCGTTGTGAAAAAATCGATTCACTTTGATGATTATGTAAAATGTCTGCGAGATTTCGACATTCAAACTCGAACACAGTATAATATTAGATCACGATTACACAACCTTGAGGCTGTAAAACAAATTAAAGTAGCTTTAAGTCCGCAAGACGACAAACGGTATTTGTTACCGGGGAGTACCGACACTCTACCGTGGGGACACTATGCGATCCCCACAATCGACGAATGATTTTGTAAAACATGATTGTAAAAAATAAAATGTTTTTTAATAAATAATGCAATTATATACAATTTCCATGTGTTTTTATTTAAAAAATCCTTCCATATATACATAATAACATGATTAAAACTTATATTAATGTAATATAATTTAAATGTGCAAATCGCCCCCAGTAACTTAACGCAAATGCCAATCAGCCAGCAAAGCAATCAAAGATTGCTGTTAGCGTAGAATCTCTTTATAAATCAAAACTACTTCCAACAACAGACCTTCACAATGCCAGTGCCAACTGATTTAATATTGATTTATTATTGATTTAATATTGATTTAATATTGATTCATTATTGATTCATAATTGATTCATTGTTGATTCATTGTTGATTCATTATTGATTCATTATTGATTCATTATCGATTCATTGTTGATTCATTATTGATTCATTGTTGATTCATTAATGATTCATTTTGATTCATTATTGATTCATTGTTGATTCATTATTGATTCACTGTTGATTCATTGTTGATTCATTATTGATTCATTGTTTATTCATTACTGATTCATTATTGATTCATTATTGATTCATTATTGATTCATTGTTGATTCATTATTGATTCATTATTGATTCATTATTGATTTAATGTTAATTAAATTTGGCACTGGCAGTGTAAAGGTCTGTTCTTGGAAGTAGTTTTGATTTATAGAGAGGTTCTACGCTAACATTAATCTTTGATTGATTTGCTGGTTGATTGACATTTGCGTTAAGTTACTGGGGACGATTTGCGAATAATAGATTATACATTTGCTTTATCTTCCCACGTATTGTGAGAATTATCAAAGCCAAGCCATTTGACAAGAACTTTGTTTCCACGTGTCTTGAGAATTTTGTCCACAAGATAAATATCTGAATGTTTTACTTTAAGAAGTTCCTCTTCATAAAATCTTCCGCTGATGAGTTGATCCTGGTAATCCTTGAGCTTGTAAGTCACTGGTTGAGTTGATTCAACTTGATCTACGGTGAATATTTCTGTTGTCCAATTGGGTGTATATCCTTTCTCGAAAACGTTTTTATATTTGCTTACTCGAACTTTGTCGCCAATTTTATACTTTGGTCGTCTCAAAGGAATTTTTCTCAACTTCATAAATCGTTCTTTTAAAATTTCAACGTCTTCTGAAGTAACATCTTCAGGCTTCATTCCAATTGTTCTATGTTTTGTATCATTATAGTTGGAAATAAGAGTAGGCTATATATCATACCATTTGTAATTTCCTCGTAAACTAAATTGCATCCACATTTTTCTTTTTAGTGTTCGATTAAACCGTTCAACAATAGAAGCCTTCATATTACTGAATGTTGAGTAAAAATTTATTTTACGCTTTTTTATTAATGCTTGAAATTGTGAGTTATAGCATTCTTTTCCTTTGTCACCATGCAAGTTTTTTGGTATGCGTTTTTTAGCAAATATAGATTGCATTGCATGAGAAACATCTTTTCCACTTTTACTTTTTACTGGAACAGCCCAAGCATATTTCGAAAATATGTCTATAACTGTTAGTAAATACTTGAAACCTTTATTTATTTTTGAATAAGGTATCATTTCTACTAAATCTGCTTGCCATGTCTCATCAATATCACGCATTTTAACTTGCCGTCGAGGATAATTTTTTCTAGCCTGAGTATGAAGTTCATTCACTACTGTTAATTTTTTGTTATTCATTCTCGAGAGCACTTAAGCGAGTATCCAATTTACTAATAATTTCAGCTGTTCGATAAGATAAATCTTGATTTATATCTTTTTCAAAATTTTTTATTTTTTCTGTAATACAGTCTTCAAGAACTTTTAGAAATAAGTTGTTATTGTCCACCTCTGATCTAAGTGAGGCACTAGCTTCATACAATAAACGCACTTCGTGTTTTATCATATGTCGTACAAGTATTAAATTGACAGCGTCGTTTTCTTCTTCAGCGTTAGCAAGATTACAGAGTTTTCTTCCTTCAACGTCAAAGTTACCTTGAGAATTGAGTTTAAAACCAACTCCAGGAGGCCCTTGTCTTGCTGTTCCTCTTTGATTGAGAGGATGTCCGAACACGTCAATGCTCATTGTTGAAATGAATGATATTTGCTAAAACACATCTTAATATAGAATTTTAGCTTCACGTAGTTCCTCAATGATAGACATGATTTCATTATTGTGACTAGGATTTCCAGTATGATAAAGAGAAGCCATTAATAGTCTAAGACGGTCAACCAACTCATTCGGATCATCCCAATAGATATATTCTCGTTAAAAATTTCTGTTTGTAATCATAAATTTAGGTAATGAACTACCGCTTACAGATGGCTGTTTGGTAGGTGTTCGAGGGAAGAATTGAGATATAAAATTTAAATACTTGTAACTCTTATCCGTGCGTAAAGATTCAGAGGAACTATACTTCTTTTTGTGTGCATTAGTAGCAATCAGAATCTCTTTATAGTTTCTTTCATCAGCTTCACTTATAAACGATCTGGTAGGTTTACTTTTGAATAAAAGTTCAAGTAATCCAGGTGTTTGAAGATATCGTTTATCACCAATTTTTACAAACTGATCTTCAAGAGTTATTGGTGAATCGCCAATCATAAGTGATCCATCACTTAGCTTACGTATGCCGTATGTTGAATCTAAACATTGCTTTCTATTATGATTTAATAAGTATAGGAATTTATTACTTATTTTATCATCATCTGGAGATTTTTCAGTTTCACTTTCATACTTTATGCTATCATCCTCCTTCTGCTCTTTCTTTTCAATCTTAACATTTTCAATCTTGACATTTTCATGTTCACTGTCTGTCAAGTTGATAATTTTTTGTAAGGGTTGAATTATCGGTTTGAAAGTTTCATTTAACACACTTTCAGCTTCTTCTTTTCCTAATTTTAACATACGATGTTTTCGCCTAATTGCCTCACTAGCTTTAGCAATTTGATGAAGATATTCTTTTTCTTTATGAAACATGTTATTATTACAAGGTTTCATATTGAACTAACAATATTTTAAGGATGATCTTATATTTATAGTGTTACAAAGCTATCAAATCCTTTTCTATATCTTCCATAATTTAAATCAGAATCCTTATCAATTACTACAAATCCATACTTGTCTGAATTCCAACATGTGGCACATAGTTCTCAAAATTGATTAAATGTCATGTCAGTATTAACATGATCATCATAAACATGCCTTAAATTTTTCTCATCTTGACGAAAAAGAACTAGTAAATTAACATTATCACGTACCAAATGTTTGGGAATGCGGGCATATGTTTGACAAAGATGAAAAGAATCAACATCAACATGTCTACCCATGAAAAGAATGCCCTTACATTATATTGCTTCTCGCAAGCAATATCATCAAATATAAATATTGAATTCCGTTTTGCATCTTTAGGAGTAATGACTTCTTCATGCTCACTAAATGGTAAATACTCTACTCCTTCAACATTACTTACAACTTGTTCCAAGAATTTATACTTGGGTTGATGTAGAGACTTTGAGTACAAGTAAATATTATCAAATCTAAGACCATTAGGATGTAAAATTAAAGAAAGTAGTACATTTGTCTTTCCACAATTTGATGGTCCACAAAAAATAGCTCGAATACTACCTGATAACAAGCTACCATGACGCTTCACTTTCTTGTCTTGTTGTTCAACAATCGAGTCTAGATTGACGACTGGCAGCTTGTGAAGTTGTTCCTTGAACCGCATCCTGATTTACACTGCCGCTAAAGGTATAAATACGGCGCTTATATACCTCACAAGTCATTCTAATTTTAACTTTCACAGAGTAAGGTATGATTATATATCATCACTCTCGAGGAAAAGGTTTAATTAATAAACTTATAAACAAGTTGCCATTTGAATTACATTTGCCGGGTTATCAATATTGTGGACCGGGCACAAAGTTAGCAAAACGTCTAGACCGAGGTGATCCAGGTGTTAATCCATTAGACACCGCTTGTAAGGAGCACGACATTGCTTACTCGAAAAATCG